GGGGAAGGGACCGGGGCGGCGCTAGCGAATTATTAACGTGGGGGAGGATTGCGAGGGAGTGAAAACACCTCGCCGGGCAAGTGTTTGCTCCGCTGCACATGGTGGCTTATTAATGCACCTCCGGGTGGAATTAACCCTTCCAGGGGCAGCACCGGACTTGCTCACAGGCCGGGTCCTGCGCGGGAGGCAGCCCTACTTACAACCCCTCCTCCCAACCCCAGAAGGATCTGTCTGTCTGCCCCCATACACCCCGAGGGAGTGAAAACACCTCGCCGGGCAAGTGTTTGCTCCGCTGCACATGGTGGCTTATTAATGCACCTCCGGGTGGAATTAACCCTTCCAGGGGCAGCACCGGACTTGCTCACAGGCCGGGTCCTGCGCGGGAGGCAGCCCTACTTACAACCCCTCCTCCCAACCCCAGAAGGATCTGTCTGTCTGCCCCCATACACCCCCCTCTATCTATCTATCTATCTCCATACACCCCCCTCTGTCTATCTATCTATCTATCTCCATACACCCCCCTCTGTCTATCTATCTATCTATCTCCATACACCCCCCTCTGTCTATCTATCTATCTATCTCCATACACCCCCCTCTGTCTATCTATCTATCTATCTCCATACACCCCCCTCTGTCTATCTATCTATCTATCTGTCTGTCTGTCTGTTCCCATACACTCCTATCTATCTATCCATCTGTCTGTCTGTCCGTCCCCATACACCCCCCTGTATCTATCTATCTATCTGTCTGTCTGTCTGTCTGTCTATCCCTATACACCCCCTCTGTCTGTCTGTCTACCTCCATACACCCCCTCTATCTGTCTGTCCCCATACACTCCTATCTATCTATCTATCTATCTATCCCCATACATCTGTCTGTCTGTCTATCCCTATACCATCCCCATACATCCCATCTGTCTGTCTATCCATCCATCCCCATACTCTTTCTCTCTCTCTCTAACCCTGTACAGCCCCCATAACAACTAGCTGGGTGAAAGCAGACAATCACGGCACTCTGCCATGAACTCACACAGTAAGATGAAAAAAAGACAGAAACAGCCTGTCACCCATGGGCAACCAGTTCTCCCAAACCGATCACTCTGTACCTGAACATTTAGTTCTTATCTTCCAAGGAAATCTGCCTAGCACTTTCTCAACAGCCAAGCCTGGAAACTTAAATTCATAACTCTGGTGGACCCTAAAAATAATGGACGGAGGAAAGATGTGACTTTATGATTCATAACAACAATAGCCCTTCTTTGAGCCAAAGCATCAGAGGTGACGACTGCTCACTTCACCTTGACTGCTCTCCTCCGTCACATGTTAATGCTTTATCTCTTCCACCTTATATTTAGCTGTGACACTGTGGGTACCTTTCCCAGCACTGAAAAGCACCATGTAAGCCCTAATTCTTGTCTCTCTCACCAACAGAAGTTGGTAGAATCTTGCAAATCCGCAGATATCTGCTTTATATCCGCAGGTATCCACACCACGGATGTGGATAGCCACAGCTTATTTTTACAGCTATGGGTATAAATTTTTCATCTTGAAACCTGCACATTGAGAATATCCACTTTATATCCGCGGGTATCTGCATCCGCGGATGTAGATGTGGATCTCCATGAATCATTTTTGCAGATGCAGGCACCAATTTCATATCCACATAGGGCTCTAGGAGTTGGTCCGATAAAAGATACTGCTTCACTCACTTGGTTTCTCTGTTTCTCTGTGTTTATCATACATCAGCCAATATCCATAATCTAATACACCATTATCATACATCAGCCAATATCTCTCTTCTTGCCCAATATTTCTTTCTCTCTAGACTTTCTTATATGGGTTGCAGTGGTTGGGAGGTTGGGCATTCTTCTGTGGCTTATATGTCATGACGACACCTATCATAAGAGGTCCCTTGTAATCAGGCAAGCAAAGAGGAGTTGCACAGAGGAAGCGGAGTTTGCAGGGGAACTCTGCTCACAAACAGATGCTGAGCCTCCTGTCATAAAACAGTTTATTCCAGGATGCGTCTAATGGTCTGTTGGCATGTAGCTGGTCCCTCTGTACTGACACTGGTGTGTTGCTTTAATGTCCTTGGTGTGACTCTTCTACGTCCCATTTTTGTAATACCGGAAACTTGAAGATATTTTGTATTCAGAATGGGAGGGGAAAGGAGCATTGGTGTTTGTGCTCCCCAAACCTGAAAATTAATGCATATGCTTTTATTTAGGTAACTAGGAATCAGTTTCCCCTTTTACGAGTGCTTTATGATTCTGAGGTGTCTTTGTTTACAATCCAGGGCAATTATATTGGGATAGTACATGTTTACTACTTGCTGCAGGGATAGCAGAGCAGGCATAGAATGTTGTTTAGAGAGGGCTACTAAAACACTTTTTAGTTGATCAAAGTCTGAGTCATAAAGTGGTGTATAACGTATCATATAGTCTAGATATTTAGATTTGGAAGATTTGCCTTCTTCAGGTTATAATAATTTTGTGGGACATCCTCTTTGATATCCAGAAATGTTGCCACCCTTCCTTCTTATACTACCTGTGTTCACAGCATTGGGATATGATTTTGGCAGGCTTTACATTTCTCTTCAGAATAAAAGTTGCTTTGTTGATTCAACTCTGTGCTTTTTCTACACCTGCAAAGGCAAAGCATGTTTAGCTTTGGACTGCCTGAATAAAAATAGAGCCAAAAATGAGCTTACTCTAAAGCTTCACATAAGAGCTGGTGAAAAAATGGAATGCATTTTTTGTGAACATTTTCATTAAAAAATTCCTTTTTTCTGTTATTCAAAATTGCATTTTTTTTCAACAAAAGTCTCATAAAAATGCAAATTAAGAGGATTTTCAATGCTGGTTCATGGTTGGTGTATGTTTTCTTTCTTCTTCCCTTTTCCTCCAAGCAACAGGCAGGGAAACTAATAATGTTTTCAGCTGAGCACATGTGCCTCTGGGCGTATGCCTATTGCTAAAGATGGACCCAAGACACTTCTTTGTCACTGCTTTTATATAGTTTCCATTTTCTTATGTGTCTGTCTTGGCTCAGCCGGGAGTGAGCCAGCCTTAAGTTTAACTGCACTGCCCGCTTTTTTCCCCCGGCTCACATAAAATCTCAGGCATTAGAGTAGCAGAGAAAACTTACGATGGTCCTATCCTGTGTCTGTCTCCAGGGAACGTCTCACAAGAGGGCTTCCAGCGTTATATTTTCAGACGCTTTGTCCAACCTAGTTTCAATGTCTCACATGATGGGGACTCCATTCCAACTGTCAGCTCAGCTTTGAAGATTGTGTAAGAAGGCTGAAATTTGTTCTTTGCTGACGGGTCCCTCAACCTTAGCTGACGCATGAATGACCCCTCTCCCTGTCTTTGCTTTGCTTCCGTTGCTTTAAAACTACCTGCCTCCTTCCAGAGTCAGCAACACTCTCTTAAAATCCAGCCAGGACAACCCTTGATCAGAGAGAGAGTTTGCTGCTGAAGGAGGTAAGGTGACCTCAAGAGACCGCCAGTCCTCTGAAAGGATTGTAAGGGCCAGGATGTTGCGTTGTCCTATGGCAGAAGAGAAACAGGTTGGTTATAAAGGAAAGAGCTTCCCTTGATACAGAGGAAACTGGAGTAAAATCCTGTTTAATCAGTTAACCAGTTAAAAGTGTTTAACTGCTTAACTGGGATGCCACCGGTGGGGGGCAGATCCACCCCGGCTGAGCCGCTAGTTAACCAGTTTCCCATAAACATCACCTATAAGGATTATCCTTACCGGTTAGCTGGTTAACCATTACATCCCCAAGCTGGAGACGATCAAAGATGCTGGGAGAGCGAAGACTGGGGAAGACTTCAGTAAGAGTAGGGTCAAATGTGAACTGTGTGGAAGATTTTTCTGAATGAGAGCTGGAGGCTGTTACTTTCAAGTGGCACTTTTTTCTCCACATGGGTCCAAAATAGCCCAGATTTGGTGACCTTCCTGGCATGCTGACAAGGTCATCGGTTTGACAGGGTTTTCGGCATGGGCTAAGGGAATGTGTCTTACAGTGATGCAGAGGTGAAAAGGAGAGGCTGTAGCCATGTGGCAAAGTTCCTGGCAAAATGTTTGCTTTAAGGCTGCGGCAATTTTACTGTACTGTCAATAATGGTAAGGGCACCTAGAGCCACGGATAGGAGTCTTTTTAATTATTTAAAGTCTAAATCAAGTGGCACCTGGTGGATTTGAAATTGGCTGGGGATTGTGCACTCCTTTTAGGCCAGATTTTCCAAGGAGCTCAGCTCTCCTTGAGGCCTGATTTCTTTTGGAAGGGTTTGGCTGCTGCTGACCTCTTCTGAAAGTCTAGTCCCAGCGGGAGCCGCTGGGTGCTGAGCACAGTGGAAAAGTTGGCCGTCACTTATTGAAGTGCTGAGCTTGGCTGCAGATCCGGCCCCAGTGATGGATCTAAGGACAACATTCCCTGCCTTTATAGTGCTGCCCTGCAAGCTAGAGATAAGTGTGTACGAGACAGCTGGTATGGGCCTGTGGCAAGGCCTTAGGACTGAGAGCCAGACGATCCTGGCTTCTATTTGTGTTTGCTGCCTTGTGCTTGTGTTTCTGAGTGAAACACTGTTGCCTGTTATGCTGCAGGCCAGACTACAACTAGATGATCTAATGGTCCGTTTGGGCCTTCAGCCCGGCCCTCTTTTCCCAATGCGCTAGGGTCTGCCGGTCTGACCAGGCCCAGAGGATGTTCTATCACAGATTTGCGGGGGTGGGGAAGAGAGGTGGGTGTATTGTGTTGTCTGCTGGAAGAGTCGGGTGGATAAGCTGCTGTTTCATTTTAATTTTTGCTCTTGTGATTTAAGTCTGGCTGCCTACAGCACTGGAGAGGCTCCCCTCTTTTTTGTTTTTGTATCAATCCGAATGATTTAAACGAACCATGAAAAAGTCGAATTAATCTTCTTTTTCCCCCTCCCAGCTTGCTATGGAATTGTCCAGGTGCCCACCGGACCCTGGTTCTGCCGAAAATGTGAATCCCAAGAGCGAGCCGCCAGGGTGGTGAGTACGAGTCACACCTGTCCTTACGCGGAGTAGATTATGCTGGTTCCCCTGTACTCCACTGGAATAGGGACTGGAACTCAAGAAATGTGGGTTCTCATCCCAGCTCTGCAGATAACCTTAGCCAAGTCATTCAAATGCTCTTCCTCCTACTCAAGCTGAATAGGATTTGAGTGCCTAACTCCCTTTGCAGTTTCTTGTCTGATTTAAATCAATCCCACCTGTGTAGACAAGGCCTGAATCAAGATAAGCCAGGTTTAAATCAATTTAGGAGTGCCTACCCAGCCTCGTGCACTGGTTTACTGGCATTATTCTATGCAACAGCTTTAGTTAAACTAATGTGGACAAACCGTGGCTCAGTATCAGTACGGTACCTGGCACTGTAGGGACTCCAGTATCATCCAGGAATTGTAGGGGTCCTGACAACACAATTATAGCTGTTTTACAGATGGGCACACAGAAGCAAAGTGAGCTGGCAAATATTTTGGGGGAGGGATAGCTCAGTAGTTTGAGCATTGGCCTGCTAAACCCAGGATTATGAGTTCAATCCTTGCAGAGGCCATTTAGCAATTTGGGGCAACAATTTGTCAGGGATAGTACTTGGTTCTGCTGTGAAGGCAGGGGACTGGACTCAATGACCTTTCAAGGTCCCTTCCAGTTCTAGGAGATAGGCAATCTCCATTAATTTAAGTATGTGGAAGAGTCAGGAATAGAACCCAGGTTTCCTGGAGTCAATACTATCAGTAGATCCAGCTCTGTTAGAGCTAGGGCTGCAAACCAGACCTGACTCCCAGTATGTCTACACTGTGCAGCTATTTCAGGATACCAGAGGTATTCCGAAATAGCTATCCCGTGTCTTAACAAGCCGTCCATTATTTTGAAATATTTTTTGAAATAACAAGCATGCTTTTTCGGCATCCCTGTAACCCTCATTCCACGAGGGTTAAGGGATGTCTCGAAATAGCGTGTTATTTCGAAATTTGGCACCCTTTGATGTGCTGAATTTCAAAATAACCTATGTCAAAATAAAATCGAAATAAGATACACAATTTGCATAGCGCAAATTGCATATCTTATTTCAAGTTGACGGTGCTGCGTAGACCCCCTCGCCCGCAGAAACACCCCTTCTCTAACCCTTTGAGAAATGCTGCTTTTATCTACGCTATGGTAAAGGGTATGGAATATGCCTGAAGGTGGCTTTATCTCATGCAAACAGTTTCTTAACAGAGGGTCAGGACAGGAATGGTAATCTGGATTTCACGCCCCTCCTCCCCCTCACTGGTGCAGAGGGAAAGGCATTGTGCTGTGTTTGTTAGAATGAAAACGGTGTCTAAGCTGAGAGAATATGCATGCACATGCAAGTCCTCCTCGGGGGGCCCCTCACCTGTGTGCCTTGCGAGGGCTGCAATGTTTCAGTGGGAGAATATGCCCCTTAGTCTGTCTTCAAGGTAGCAGAAGAACAAGGACCCTGCAGGTGGTTCCTCTTTTAACTCCCCATCAGTGAAATCTGTTGGACAGTGCACGGTGGGCTTCCATCATGCCATTCATGTTTGTGACATGCAGTTCTGGATAGCGATAATCTTACTTCCTAAGAAGAGCTGGGCGTGACTGCCTAGCTAAATCTCTTACCTTCCACGGGAGACACCACAGTCCTAGCAACAGATACACAGATGGGTAAATAACTAGCAAGAGTCCAGTCCTTTGATGTAGGAAGTCAGGCATCTGATGGTCAGGGGCGCAGCTCTCGGTTGTGAGATGTAGGCCAAGCTCTGACACCTGTTTACTATGTGGCTTTGTATATAATGTTTCCTGTCTTTTTTTTCCATCCATGTGCAGAATAAATTTTTATGTGCACCATGGTATGTGTGGAGTGCACTACCAGTAGGAAAAAAAATCTAGCTGTAGGCACTCTGCTAATCATCTGGGTGGCATTTGAATCTCCCCTTAGTGGCCGCACAAGTGCACAGCTTACAGAGAGTGCTGCTTGTACGCCATCACACAGTGGATTGCATAGTAGAAGACATAGATTTGGTTCCTGGCTCTGCCATTGTCTGACAGCTTTGCTCTGCCCTAGTTTCCTCCTCCTGAAGAGGAACATTATCTGCCACTGGGTAGTGGTTGCAAAATGGTGCTGTAGAAGTTCAAGGTGTCCTTGGTATCCCAGCAGTAGGATCCGTCGGGCACATCCTGCAGTGACTGGCTCTGAGCGAATGCCACTGAGAAATAACAGCCAGTCTCTAAGAAGGTTTTGCACTTACATAGCTCTCACCATATGAGACTCTCTAACCATTAGGTTACACTCCCTTCTCTAAACTAAAATGAAAATCTGGGAGTCTGAACCTCCTAGGTCCCTCTGCTCTAGTATTTAGGCTCTGGTCCTTTCACAGAGCTGGAAGGAGAGCCCAGGAGACGAGATTAGATCATGTTGGTTGTACGTAAGGACCTAAGGACCCTTAATCCTTGCTCAGAACCCTTCCTCAAATTCACAGGTCCCTAAAGGATGCTGTGAACATTAGTGTGCTTACAGTAAGCAACTGAAAGCCGATTCCACTTTGTAATCAAATTGTCTGGGAAACCCAGTAAGCTGCAATCGCCCGGAGGGCAGCTTTAGCTATCCTTAAGAAGCAGGGCTAATAAAAGTCTTGTGGGGTTCTGTTAACCTCTCTTGTTATGATCAGAGCTTTGCTAATCGCAGGGTGGGAGAGGCACTTTGATCTGAAGGTTGGAGGGGAGAGTGTAGAGGCCTTTTCAAATGCAAATTTCTTACTATAGGGCTGCAGTTAACTCTGTTCTCTCTGGGTTTGCTGGGGTTTCCATGTGGATCATGGGATCCTAGCTCAGTCAGCAGCCGTATGTGTGCGGCCATGACTATTCATATACCAAACGAATAGTCACTGTCTTTCATTCTTCGGGCCAAGAGGGCGTAAGTTCCTGATGGGCTCTGCCATTTCCCCCCCGTGTTTCTTATTATTTTTAATACTGTGTAGCACTGGTGGAAGGGGCCAGTCTGACAATCCATGAGACTCGAGTCTCCCGTTTATCTAGAGGGCAGATACAGCTTAGGCCAGGAGATCGGAAGCACCCAAGGAAATTATTTCGAAATAACTTATTTTCAAAAAATAACTCCTGCAACAGCGGTTTCAAAATACCATGTCCACACTACAGGGAAGCCTCGAAATTAGTCTGAGGCAGGCTCCCTTAATTTGAACGCGCTACCTCGACTTAGAACCCCAGGAAGCACTGGGGGATAACTACTTTGAATGACTCTGGGGAGTAGTTATTTCGAAATAGCAGCAGCGGAGCGTCCACACCACCGCTATTTCAAAATAACTATTTCAAAATTAGCGATATTCCCTGGGGAAAGCAGGAGTTATTATTTCTTAATAACCAACCCCTTATGTTGAAATAACAGGTTTGGTAGTGTGGACGCTCCACTTGTTATTTCGAAATAAGGGGAGGTTTTTTTCAAAATAACTCTCTAGTGCAGACCAGGGCTAAGGTGCTACAGGACTACTTGTTTTTAAAAGTGTCAGAGGGGTAGCCGTGTGAGTCTGTAACTGAAAAAAACTTTAAAAAACAACCAATACCCCTGCAGCACCGTATTTTAAGTTGTTTTTAAAGTTACACTCACACAGCTACCCCTCTGAGCGTACATCTAGACTGCAGAGTTTTTCCGGAATACCAGAGGTATCCCGGAAAAACTCTGCTGTGTCCAAGGAACATGTCTGCTCTTCTGAACATTTTTTTTTTTTTTTACGGGGAAAAAGGGATGTTCCGAAAAAGGTTTTTTTCCCAACATTTGGCCCAGTGTAGACAGGCTAAATGTCGGAAAAGCCTCTTCCGAAAAAAGGAGCAGATAAAGATACGCAAATTGAGGTTCACAATTTGCGTATCTTTTTGCAGAAGAACTTTGTAGTCTAGGCACAGCCTGAGATAGGTACAAGATGGTTACAGGGCAGCGCCTCTGCCACCCACGACTCTGTGGGAGCCAAGCACGGCCCCCCCCTGTAGGGACAGGCCACCCCACCCTAACAGGTGGTGGGCAGCCCCAGCAGGAACATGGGGGATGTCAGGCAGCACACCGTCCCAGCCCCAGCAGTGGGGAGAGGGAGCGCAGGTGATGTGTGATCCCTGCCTTCCTCGGAGCAAGGGGAGGGTGCACCCCTGGAGGGCACGTGGCGGGTGCCCCCCCCCAGCCTCGGTGCACAGGTGGCACCTGGCCCCAGCCTTCCCAACCCCAGGAGGGCTGGTGGCATGGAGACTAGAGTGACACAATGAAGGGGGACAGGGGCTGGCGGTGGACTGTGGGCAGGGCCAGGTTGGCATTTGGGAAGGCAATACCTTCCCCTGCTTCTTCTACCCACCACCCATATTACAGTGTGAGAGTGTGGCTCTCCAATCCTGTGCATCTTCTGCAGTCATTTCCCCCCAGGCCGGGTGGGGGGGGCGGGTGGAACCTTATCACATCAGAGTGGGAGGGTCGGACGCCCAGCTCGCATGGGTGCAGCGTGATTTCCAGACTCATCCTCCGCGCAGCACACTGTGCATGTCCCACCAGCACATCCGCACGGCGGCTAACACCCCCGCGTGGAAGAGAACTCGAGCCTAGGGGCAGAGAGGAGTAGCTCTCCACGGCCCTTTGGACTACAGTGGGTTGGGCTGAGAAGGCCGGTAAGGGAGCAATTGTTGCTTCATGGGATGGTGATTTGTCTGAGGCGGGACACCATCCCACTGGGGAGTGGACTCTCTAGAGATTGTGACATACAGCAAACCCAAACATGGGTCCTGCATCCATTAGTGTCCATTCCACTACCCCCCGCCCCAATTCGCATGGATGACCCTGCAATCCATAGCTGGGCAAGTTTCAGAAGTGTAGCTGTTTCAGCAAAAACAAGAAGCCATGGGGCACCTTAAAGTCTAAGGCCTTGTCTATACTGAACAAAATGCCATTGCTGTGATCAACCTTCTGGAGTTTGATTTAGCGAGTCTACTTAAGACTC